CCCAAAGCATAAGTGAAAGAGAGTGAGATTCAAGGCATCAACAAAAGGCTGAGCCCCGAAGAAGAGAAAGAAACTAATTCATCCATCACATTGCAATTATAGTGCTTGGGCAGTGCTGTTTTTCCAAAGCTAAATCTGAAATGACAGACGATTTCAGTCCTTGGAGAAATCAACAAAAACGTTTTCCGCCATACAACACATTCCATTTTCGATTGGATTGCCTCACTGATTTTGCTGTGAAACCACTCGTCAACACACTGTGCATGGGATATGTTTGTCATACAAAAACCGAATAAATCGTCGGCAATCGAAGGAATTCAACATAACAAGAGATTTATTGATCATGTCATTTTGCATGCAATTCATGACCCAGTTCTCCCCCCCCCCTTCTTGAGATGATGAGATGATGTTCGCCATCGAGACAGTGAAAAATCACTCTGTTTGCGCAAAACTTTAGCAATATTATTAAACTGAGAATGTTTGGTTTAAATTTCATTTGAACTGTGCTATAGCATTAATTATGCATTAGCCACCCCGACCGAAATCGGAACATAAATTCGAATCGATGGTGTGTGATTGTCGACCACAGCCAGGCACTAGGCTCGATGCGTTTATTTGTTCAAATGATAAATGAGCACACATTTCAACTTTTCCGCTGGTTTTTCATTGCATTTGCTCGGGTTCCCAGCAACACGATTCATCTCTCTCTGCCTCACTGTATGTGTGTTCGTCGTTTGTTTTTTTTTCCTTTGTGCCATCCGCAATGGTCAAACAAAATATTGCCGTGTTTTAGCATATAATTATCGCATTCAATGTTCATTATTACCGCACAACCGATTGGTCAGACATTTGTATTCAACTATTGATTGCACATTAAATGTGTATAATTTGGTGTTTGCCCATTCAAATTCATTACATGCGCATCGCAATCGCATATTCGACTCTGTGATCCACCGAACACGATGTTAATGACGAGTTGCATTTATTCAATTGCATGTAATTTCAAAAGTCGTCCACAAATTGTGAGTGAAGTTCGCAGAATGTGTTCTATTGAACATGAATCGCATTATTCGCTTTTAAAACTCGACTAAATATACGTCTATTTGGAAAATTAAGCCAATGAGACCCCATTGAAATTGAATGGCCGAATTTGCAAATCGGTTTTTTTTTTGCTGTTATGATGCGTTTCTGGGTTAATTCAGTCGTAGCGAGAGGAAAAAAAACAAACTCACTTGATTTAATTGCAATAGAAAATGTAAAAACGATTTGACCAGGTTAATTACAGACTACATTTCCACCCATTAAACATGTCCGTTGTGCAGTTGGATTAGCATTTTGATCAAATTTAACTGAGCTTCGGTCGTTGTTGTTGTTTTTTTTTCTTTCTTTCTTTCAATTTCTGTTTCGATAGTAATTGATTCGGATACTGTTTCGACTAAATGTGTCGAGCATGCATCGAAAATATATACGATGCAGTATTGGGCTGCTGACGAACGAATCATTATCTGGCTTCGATATGTACTTGAATTTCATCGCTTGTTGTTGATTTCGAGTGTGTGTGTGTCTGTGTATCGGTACCTATTTTTGGAATTCTGGTTCCGGATGTCAATTGTCGTGTTTGTTTCTGTTTGAAATGCGTTTACGTTCGGCTTCTTCAAGCCATTTTTGTAATTGGCGTGTATCATCATCGATTTCGAATGCACATTTCATTCGTGCACGGCAAGCAACGTTGTAATCAAAATGTGTTCATGTAGTTTATATGGTCGTCATTCATATCAAGACACACGTAATCAATCAATAAATAACAACAGCCCATAGAAATGGTTGCGATGAACAAAAAGCAGCGCCGATTCATGTTTTTTTCTTTCCTTCTCTTTCTTTCTTCCATGGAGAAAAACATACATCGTATTTCTTAACGCTGTCTTTCGATTGTTACATTCGAATTGGAAACAATACAATGTTCCTTTTTCGTCATCGGAACGTTTCGATTCGATGAAGTTGTCGATGCGCATACACACCGCAGTAAAAGTAATATCGCAACTTCACCCAATAATTCACACAATATCTCTCACATCATCGCAGTTGAGGCGCATTATATATTCACAGCGACTAGCTACTGCGAATTGCCACTAAATACATAATGATCATAATGTAGCTCGTTAGAAAACACGATTGGAATAGTAAATTCTAAGGAATTGAACGATAAATCAGCATGGTTGGTTTTTTAATTATTTTGATGAGGCTTCAGCGATGAATGGAAAGAGACGTGAGATGATGGAAAAAAAAACATCGATTCATTTCGAATGAAAAGCAAGAGGCAGAAAGAATCCATGCAGAATAAAACCATCACACAGGCGAAATTCAAATCGAATGTCATGAATCAAAATCATTGAAAGTCTTTCGATCCGCAACAATGGTAAAATGGAGAAAGAACCGAAAGCGCCATTGATGAAGATACGTTCGCCATAATTTTTGGCTAATTAAATGTGAATACATTTTGTTGTTAATCCGAAGCCATAGCAGTAATCCAGTTTTAAAACGAAATTTACATAAATATTTGCTGAAGCTTCATACTGTGTGTGACTGACATAGTATGATATCGGTTTGATGGGAAATCGAAATTTTGGTTCGTTTTGACACGAATGCATTAAGAAAACACAAATTAGACACACATAAAAAAATAAAAATGTGGCATTTTAATCGTTTATTCTCGCTCTAATGAGGCAATTTTGGTTGCTTGATATAGAAATTGTGTGTGTATATGATGGCAAATGAAATTTATCATAAAAACAAATCACGGGAATTCGGAAATAGTGTGTTTCGAACAAATTCTGTGCGCGTGTGCGCCCAAGTGATAGAGAAAGGCATGGGAGAGATTGGCGTGAGCGATAAACTGCGATGTTGATTCAAGAAAGAGATTTATTCGTCGAAATTTTGTGGTAGTGAAAGAAATCACTATGAATTTCGCCCAAACCATATTCAAATCAAGATTGAATCGGCTGGCTGGCTGGCTGGCTGACTGCTTTGGTTATACGTTCCAAATAGACAGGGCAATTTGCTTTGATAAAGCCACGGAAAGTGATATCCAGCGAAAGACCACATGTGCACGCTCTTCTGTAGCCCCAAGTTCAACATGCTTTGTGATTTGGTATTTGATTTCAACAGTGATGATACAAGCCATTTCTCTCTCTCTCTCGCTCTCTGCCTCGTTGATCGAGTTTTGTGGTCTGTTTTCTGTCTGTTCACGATGCAGTTCTCGTGTGCATCTTTCTTTCATTCAACAATCCGTTACTTCTAAGTTACACACATCGAGCGCGACTCGCGCGTTTTATTGTTTGTTATTCTTGTTTCCGCTTTGCGCTTGTTTTCCTTTCATTTGTTGTTTACTTTGGATACGTATGGTTTTTTTTCGGTTCGTTCGTCTTTGTTTCGTTTTGGGTTCAATCGTATAGTCTATATTCGTGGTGCGTTCACATGTGCATAATCCGATGAACATGCTTATATTTACATTCCATTCCGCTGGCTTTGTAATTACTGGTGCATATTGTACTGGCGCGCGCGCACCCGATATGCTATACCAAATATCGTAATGTTACAAAACCAAACCATAACATTCTACATATTTTTTTCCTTTCTTTCGATTTTTTTTTCCATTGAAATCGAAGTGAAATGAAAACACTCTTATACGTTCTACTTTCATCTTTATCTTGCTCAACAATTTATGTTGCATGGTTTGCTTTCTGTCAGATTTTGGTTGGTTGGTTGTTGCTGCTTTTTTTTCCTTCGTTTTGGTAAGTAACTGTTCCGAATGGATTAAATTGCTGCTTCAACAAATCACTTTGAAATATCGATGGCAATTAACCGAACAATGTCTTTCTCAAGTGGCGGAGCGAATGTCTTATTTCGGTCGCCGTGTCGTGTATTGCATGTTGTTGTTTTTTCATTCATTCTGTCGGTTTGAGCACTTCGAGTTGACAATAAAGTAGATGTTGATAACGACGAGAAGTAATGAATCGGTTTGCTTGAGTTTCATATTGTGTGACACACGTGTAAATGGGAAATGGTGTTTGTTGATCTCTTCATTTGCGCGAAAGTCGTCGAAGCAATTGAACACCACAACCGCTACAAAAGTCGTTTCAATCAAGAAACAGCAGTGGCGGAAGTCATTTTCGATTGTATGTGTATGTAATCGTTTGGCCTCTATTTTCAAAGAGCATATTTGCAGGCAACTCTATGCAATTTGAATATGTGGATTGGAAAATTGTCTTATCTCAACATTTTGAATATAAAGTATAGTTCTAGCGCTTGAATAGGATCAAATCACGCGTCTATTTTAAGTTTTGCCATAATCTAATTCGATCAATTTACGGTTAAACAAACGGGCGAATGCATTGAACGCAAAATAGAACGTTGATAATGATGTAATTCACCGCTCGCCAAATGCGAATGACATGGAATTGAAATAGAAATAGACGCAAACATAAAGCAAGCCAGAGCGATCAACGCCGAAAGAAATGAAAGGAAATCAAAATTATTGTGTACAAAATGATTTGAGAGTTCCATCTAATTAGCTTTTGTATCAGAAAATGTGAATTGATCTCGCTGTGAAAACTGGGACAAACATCACATAAACGGGCTTCAACAACAACAACAACATAATATTCTAAGCTGTATTTTGCATTCACCGCAAACAGAGTTCAAGCAGTTCATATCAAGTGAATGCAAAACGTTCGGTCGCTCTCCATTGTCGACCACCGTTACGAGTCGAAAATGTCAGTTTACAGCATCAATAAAACATTCAAGCTGTAGAATGTTTTATTTGTAATATCGTTATCAATTCGAGTTTCTTTTTTATTTCTTCAGCTTTTTTTTCCCTTCGAATAATCGCATGTATAGGAATAGCGGAGCCATAGTCTGTTATTCGCCTTTAGAAACACCGAAGAAAGAAAATATTATATTCAAACCGCAATCAAGCACTTGTGCTCTAATAAACCATTGCCATTCATATATGTTTGTGGTGCAGCAGCATAACTTTGAATTGCATTGTGTCTATTTGATCGCGATTTCCATTCCAGCAATTGAAGATAATTTGATTTAGTCGGTGGTACTTCATGCAGTCAAAAATTTTTTCTGTTGTATTCTCTCCTTCTTTTTATCTACAACAATTTATTGTTATTACAAGCGATTTTAATCCGTTATTTTGATCGAATTGCCGCTGATATGCAACGTCGACAACGGCCAAAGCAGCAGCTTGGCCGGAGAAGAGCCGAGTTTGAGAGAGCAAAAATTTTTCAATTACATTGTGCCTGATGGGTGGATTGTTCGCATATCAATCTAATAGAAATAGCATAAGGGCAGCTGGCCGTATGTGCCCAACACGCTCTCCGCGTCTCGTTCGCCCGCGTGTGTTTTTTTCCTTCGCTCTTTGACGATATTGCCCGAGGAATCATTTAATGTAATTTATTTCGCTGGAAGAGGCATACAGCAGACAACTGCCGTTTAGAAAATGGTCACCCGTTAATGATCTGTGTTACTGTGCTACTGTTTTTACAGTTTTTCGACATCAATTAAACCTTTTTTGTACCAGAATCGTAATAAAACCGAGTACGATTATTAAATTGCTACAGCTACTGGTTTTGAAAATCCTTTGAATCGCTTTTTTTTCCATTTTTGCATTTAACGAAGGCCTTTTTATTTGAATCGTTTTCCATTGAGACTGTTGTGAACGGTGACCACAGTGATATGATTCTTAGAAAGTACGGTTCAGTTGTCTTGTTCACTCGACATAGTTGCGGTTTCAAGTGTCTTTACTGCTTTGTGTCCCTATCTCATATGAGCCACATAAAAAAAACCCAATACCAAAATTATCACACAATCAATAAATTTATATGCACGAAACCGTTTTTTTGTTGTTGCTTTTGTTCGCATATCATTTTTACATTGTAGTATGCAACAGTTCTCATTGTGAACGAGAAAAGAATTGCCACGGACAAAAAGTTGGGCGAGATTAGCATTTCGCACACAAAGCACTTGATTTACACGGTTTTTTTGTGTCTACAAATCGTGCTCGAATCAAGTGAATAACAACAGCAACAGAAATTTGCTCATTCTTTATCAATCATACACTCGCTGCATCACGTATAGAAATATCTTATTCGCCTATTTTGCGGCCGATAACTCGTTCAATATGAACTGACCGGTAGTCAGAATGAGACAAACAAACTCAAACGACAGTAAAAACGAACAAAAAATACGCACACACACGTTGTTTTGTGTTTAAATTGTACTTGAGACCGTCGACGGTTCATAAGCAAATCACATTTCTTTTTTTTTCTGCTATATACGCTGTTTGTTTCTCCTATACGTGCCGTCCACACATCCGTACGCATAGCAGAAAACGACACGTATCTCTCAATAGCCCGGTACAGTGTATTGGAGCGATAGCGCTGTAGCTATTGCCCGTCGCAACGCATACACTGACACCAAAAGTCTTTATTAACAGTGTAACGGGTCGCCATATTGAAATATCGTCATTGTATCGAGAGAGTTCAGTTCAAGCGAATTAATTCTCTGCGTTCAAAACCGATATTTAACTATCATTTTCTTGTATTATCCTCAAAATCCTCAGTCACATTTTGAAAGTCATATCAATAACTGTGCAGTTAAATTGATTGTGAATAGTTTAAAACCAGTCAAAAGGTACGAGATTTATTGTGATTTCTTTTTTTTTTCTTCGTGTAACAAACATCAGCTGAGTGCTGTGTATTTTGCTTCAAAACAAAGAACGCAATTACAGTGAATATTTCTTCTTATTCTTCTTTGTCTACATTGGATGGAATTTTTTTCTTCACAGATTTGAAAAAGAAAACTAAAATGAAGTGGTTGTGCGTATTTGTGGCAATTTTCTTGACGGTCAACGCTCAAGATAATTTCTGTGCCAACGATGTTACGGCAAACTGCAATGGTCTCAAAGGTAAATGATGTTTTTCTCTCGGTTTCACCTTGTGTGGATGACGTTTTGTATGGTGTTGTGAAATTGCGTAGAAAAATCGAAAGAGAGAGAGAGAGAGAAAAGTGAGGTTAGGTGCTGTGACTCATATATTGATTTATTTTTCTACTGCAAAACTACAAACATGCCAATTGAAATTGTCATTTGCTGAGTGTGTGACTACGTTGTTTTTTTACGATGTTAATGAGAATTCAAATAAAATCGTTCTTTTTTCTGTTTCGTGTGGACATTTTCATTTTTCCATCGTAGACGGCATTGGCAATTGTAATGCAAACTTCTCTGGATTTTCGACGGGCATTGAACATGTTCAGGCCTATGCTAATGAGCAACTTTTGAAATCATATGATTACTTGCTTTTGGCCGCTAACTTCGGTACATATGTCAAGAATCGTCCAGGTTTTGAAAAACAATTCCGTGCATTGTCCGATTCAGCATGGGAACGTTCCATTGATTTGATTAAGCACATCACTAAACGTGGCGGACAACACAATTTTGCCAGACGTCGCAGTGTCACTGTCAGCACACAAGGAAAACGTGTCTCAGAACTCAACGAAATTGATGCATTGGCATTCGCTTTGGATACGGAAAAATCATTGGCATTGGAAGCACACAGCTTGCATGAACGATACTCACATGCCAATCATAAATCCCGTTACGATGCAGAGGTACGATTCACTGAATAGTGTTGTCAAAACCGACAATTTGGACAAATTATTCCTTGTTGTGTGCCGTAAAATGAAAAAAAAACCCTAATTCAAATTCAATTCTTGAAATGTTTCATTTTCCAGATGTCCCATTACTTGGAAGAGAAATTCATCGAAGACCAAGCCACAACCGTTCGCAAATTCTCCGGTTATGCCAATGATTTGCACCGAATGCTCGATGATGCGATCGACTCATCTTTGTCATTGTTCATGTTCGATGAATACCTTCAAAAACAATAAGAGGCTTACCGAGATTCAAAGCCCCAACCAGTTTTTTTTTACCCTACCAATTCGTTAAAAAATTTGCTGTGGTTTTTTTTCTCTATTTTTGTTCCATATTATATAGCCTTTATTGGATTCTATTTTACACATAGAAAGAATGTATATTAAACTTTGTATCACGTACCAAAAGACGAAGAGAGAAGTAGCGAGAGAAGTAGTAGAAATTCAGTTGAATAAAGTTTAGTGTACAATAAAACAAAGGAAATTTACTGTGTTTATATTTGTCAATTCAGTCTACAACGCATATTCTCATTAAAGTGTATTTAGATAAAACGCAAAAAAAAGAACACAAACAAACAACGTGATTCATTACGGCATGATAACGGAATGTGCAATCGAATGCATTTTATTTACGACGCATGAATGACAAAAGTGTGACTACGCCCGTTTGAACAAAGGATTTTGGAATTTCGACTGAACTTTAATGACCCGCCACTGTAAACCGGTCTCAATTACAACAATTAGTCATTTTTAGTAGATTTTTTAGTTCGATTTATGTGTTTGAACCAAAACATTTTGTTGATTTGATGAATATTTTTTATAGTTTCTGATGGCAACTTCAACCTAAGTGATTACGTAAGTGCGACGTGTATTCTAGGAATGTATTTGAAAATCATTTGAAACTATTACAGTGTACAATTTGTACTTGGGGGGGAATTCATCTTATCACTTCTATGAAAGAAAAAAAAATCCATCTACGTCATAATTGCGCATTTCTTTATTATTTTCCCAATAAAAATCATGATTTTTAACAGAAATTGTCGTTCGTTATCTCGATTTTATAGATCGTCAATTTATTGCTTCGACGCTCTTTGTGTTTTGTTGTCACAATGTGTCTGACATGTACTCGACATTATTGCAACCTTTTGTTAGCAACAAGCCATAGTTCATCCACTGGATCTACTTTCGCTTCGAAGAATCATAAGCAAATTTTTTTAATTGTAAAAGCGCAAAATGTGTCGAGATAATGGTTGAAAAACTGACATCGTGCATGATTGAGCGCATTTTTGAATGTGACACAATGGATTGATCTAGAAATGAGAGAAAGAGCAAAGAATCGGTCGAAATAAAACTCCGTATTCAAGTCAATGAAGTGAGTTTACTGGAGATGGTTTCTCCGAATCGATGTGTTGCATTTAAAATGAGCGAAAAAGCGTTTGTACCAAATCGAATAGTTGAAAACGTTTTTGTTGTCGCCACAACTTCTGTTTATGCATGAATAACTTTTCGCAGTTGCGGTCGGGGCGACAGCGATGCGAGATACATTTTATATCCATATATATTTTGTGTCGCACTTGGTTATTGGGATATTCCGTTTTGGTGTGGCTGTGCACTGCTGTTGCCAGCGTGTAATGCAATCGCCACAGCAGCAGCAGCAGCAGCAGCAGCAGCAGCAGCAGTCGCACATATTCGTTGAATCGCTGTCTCACAGTCACATATAACAATGATATGGTGATATATCTATGTTATTGTTTTTGTGCACGTTCGCGGTTGGTGTGTGATGCGCTGGATGTGGTTTTGATGGCTGTAGGTATACCGTCATCATATGGCGTTGCAATGCAAAGTTCATCCGAAATGATTCTCTCGCTGCTTTTTTTTGTAGCACAACGCAGAGAACGATCGACCGACCGAGCAAGAGAGCGAAAAATGTTGAGCGAACAAGTTTTCTGATTTATCTTACCTACCTTTTATGAACTTCGTATCACATCAGACCATTTTTTTCATTGTTTTTGTTGTTGTTGCATTGCTGTGGCCTGTTGTCGTTCATTTTGTTATTATTTTGTGTTTTGTCAACCGACCTGAACTCTTTCGCTCTCTCTCTCTCCCGCTCTATCCCTATCTTTTCCTGTGCACCATATCTTTTTTCTGTTGACGATTTCTGAGCGCATTTCCATTACATTGTTGCTTTTTACATAACAGCAACGTTGATATGTTCATTCAGTGTATAACAACGCGATGAAAAATACGAGCAAACAAATCACACGGAAAATTCGCGACTCTTTGCACATTCTTGTTGATTTTATTCGACAACTTCGATGTTGTTTCTTCGAAATTGCTTCTGGAATTTGCTTCACATTTTAATCGTTATACACTCCGTACAAAAGGTTGTACCGAATTACAATTTTGTTCGCTTTGTATTTGATTTTGTGTGCAATGTGCATACAGAGAAGGGGAGACGAATACAAAAACAACTAGCAAAACAGAAAAAGCTATGGAAACGCAATCAACAATCACAGCGACGCTTCACAGTAAATGCATTAAAAGAGGCGAGACACGAAACAAGCATCTTGTACGTGATGGATTCTCTGTTCACACAAAATTCCGTTCTCCTTTTTTGTGCATCCGTCTCACCAGCCAGCCGGAGCAGGAGAGACACGCAGAAAGAGAGAGAGAGAGACATACAAACACAGAGCAATCTTAAATTGATACGAAATGCGGAATGTTCTATGTGAATTTGGCGACTGCAGATTTCCTATCAATATTTCAAGAAAGTGTGAGCACAGTGGAAAGAGAAAAAGGAGAGCAAGAGACCAACACGATCATGAATAATTCTCTTTTTGCCCTTTCGCATCGCACACTCGATTCACAATGATTTTATTTGTTGTGCTTCGGAATCAATATCCGATTTGCTTCATCTTATTTTCCACCATAAAAAAAAGGAACGCCGAAAAGAAAGAAAAACAAAGACACTGAACGTTGAACCGGCCAAACTAAAATGGACTGCGCTTGATGATGAAGCGTATGGTTTTACACACAAGTCTAAAGTACATGAGAACCAATGTATAAACAAACATAGGATAAAAGAGAGAATGATGGTTTTATTTGTCCACGACCAACTTTTCGATCTTCATAAATAGAGAAGACGCGTCGACGGTGGACTGAAAAGATGGTGAAGTGCTGACAGTTAAAAGAAAAAATCAAATCCCATGCGAATTTTATTGAATATCTTTTTCGAAAGCACCTCAATAGAAAAAAATTCAAATTTTTCGGTCATAATAGATCGTTTTTTAAGTTTTCAAAAATTCCCTGCTCTTCTGCTGTGCTCGGTGCAACTTTTGAAATCGTTCGATGTATTTGTTCATGAGTCAGTCTCAGCATGCAATACTTTTCCCTCATCACGTATGAGTGCTGAAAAGAAGATACAAACAGCAAGAGAAAAAGAAGATCCGTCAGTGTTTTGGTCCACTGAGAATGGCGAAATAAAAGAAGCTTATTGCGGAGCAACAGCAGCAACAGAAAAAGACAAAGAGACAGACCTGAAGGAGCAAGGCGATAACGTTTCGGTTGTATGATATCATGATGTATCACCGAGAGTTGAAAATTGACTCTTCAGCAGAAAATTCAATTGAAACTTGATGACAAAGTTGATATCTCATCCTTTTCTTCTTGCTGCAGTCTGGTGAGTTTTTGGTGTTGGGTTATCGACCTTTCAAATCATCGCATCGCATCGCCACATCAGCTCAGACCTATTTTTGGTACACACAAACTGCTGAGATTTATTTTCATCATTGTTTGCCTTATGCTTGTGTGTGAGTGTGTACATGTGATGAACGACACACAATATGTGCTTTTGACAACCCACTGAATTGCCATGGCCACATTTCTCAACGATTAAACCGATATCTATCTAAAACGGTATAGATAGTGTAGTTAAAAATTCAAACTGGGAATTTAATTAAGACTGTGAAAATTGTCTGATGCCCAAACATGCGGATAACAAGCGGCTCAATCAAAATGTAATAAATAACCGCTTTTCCGGTGTGCATTTTATGTTAAATTATGTGTTAAAATATATATCACACATACACACACACCGTGCACTTTGAACATCAATTAATGCAGCATAAATTTAAATTTAACACACCATTTTCGTGCTTCACATGTTTGCGCTTTTCCATGAAATCGACACCGATCCGTTGAGCCGAACAATTTATTTACATCCCAAAAAAAGCTACTGAAGCAACAGCGGCAGCAACAACATCGTCAATTAATTTTGAGTACAAGAGCCACAGCGCAGTGTCGAAAAAAAATATCACACATCATCGAACAAGCGACAGCCAAGTTTGGAGTGTTTTATTGTATCACACGGTTGCTGTGTGTTGTTGCTCATTTACTACTGAAACACTCATAAAAAGTCATAAAAAACAACAACACGACGAACATAGCGACTGTGTAAATAAGAGCTGGCTGGCGTGAAAATAAAACTTTGCCTCGATTAATGCTCTCTAATCAGATACGACAGAGTGATTTTGACGATGTTGGTCATCGTTTTTCATTTCGAGTTTGAAGAAGATGGAAAAAAAAACTTCAACGAATTTAATCTCATTGAAATGAACTGAACGATCAATACTCAGCCACACACACATACACACACAGAGAGAGAGAGAGAGAGAGAGAGAGAAAGACGAGAGATTTCCTTCGGTCCTATTCACTTACTTCACAAATTGCAACACGTATCCCAAACGTTTGTCCGCTCTGGTTTTCAACCGGCCGAAGTGTTTCGAGTATCTTCATTAATATTATTGTCATCTTTACGACTGGAACCTCATCTTCATTGCAAAAGAATCACTAAGAGGTAGAAAAGATGGCCAACTTGAAGTGATGAGACGAGAGAAAGACTGGGCTAGGGAGAGAGAAAAAAATCGTTCAGCATTCGTCTCAATGCGATTAAATTGGATTAAAGTGATTGAATGTGTACGAATTATGTGTGCGGGTATTCGAAGTGACTGCAAGAATATTAACGAATGAATAGCAAAAGCAACACAAATAATCGCACTAACTTAAAACGCCATTGAATACGCGAGCGCGCGCATTTGCTCGCACAAAAATAAAGAAGAAGAATAAGAAGCAGGAGAGTCATTTCAATAAAAGTGAGTCGAGATTTAGTTCTCAAAATGAAAATTGCTTTTTTAGTGCTCAATAACATAACGACAGAGAGTCCAATTTATATTTTAATTGAATCTCACTGATAATAACGCACACACATACGCACACACATACACTTCTTCCTGGGGCCATAAAAAAAAATATATATGTAGCCATTTCCATTCACTCTCGAAAATGATCTCGTCGAAATTTTCGTTTTAAATATTTTATTGTCAGTCATTTTGCGCTTGAAACGACGCAACGACTGAACGTAAAAGCGATGAGTATGCACTGTGAGCACAAATGTCACAAATCGACATTCATATCGTGCAAGGGTGC